GATGTTTTCTTCCTCGCACAACTTCTTTGTGGAATCAATTACCACCAGCGATTTTTCCGGACCGATACGACTTAGGGACCTTCAAGAAAAGAGCCTACTCCTTTTTAAAAGGCCGGCAACGCATCTGCAATTCCCCTGGTGTTGCGGTTGTTCATGGGCGGCCTTAGTGACTTACCATCAGGTGAGTCGCATGCTCGTTTGCACCCTCTTCTATAAAAAAAAAAAATGGGCAGGCCCCGATAATCCCAATTCTACAAATTTTCTTTTCAAAAACGGCTAATAGGATATTATAACCACCTATAATGTTAGTTTACAACAAATATTTACAGGCAGGTGTTTTCTCATCAGTTTGGAAGAATTCTAATATTGTCCCGGTAGTTAATTGTATTTAAAGAAAACAAAAAAAAAGACATATATATATACTCACGCCTTTCTCCAAGAGGGGTAGACAGATAATATGGACTACAAGTTGGCACGATCCTGACACACCTCTCTCGTCTCCTCCTTCACATCCATATTCCTACGCATACATGCTCGTCGGTTAAAGGTACTCTAAAGTGGGCCCAGTTTCAATATATCGCCAATTTTGTCGATTAACTTTCGCCTAGGGCGTCCCTTCCCAACTTTTCCGTTCACCTCTGCAACACAGCAATAGTGTAGAAGTCCATATACTCTATTTCCTGCGTTCACTCGTCGTTCTATATCCTTCTCATACCTACCATCCCTGCTAAATACACATACTCATCTACTTGCTCGATAACTTGGGAGCAAGGTCCCCTATTCTTATTTTATATATAGTTTTACTCTCTTCTCTTTCAAAAACCATAACTTTCATCTTACTTGCGTTCACTTTCATTCCCGTTTCTTTTAATGACCTGTTCATTAATGTAACCATCATTTGCAACTCGGCCGCCGACGACGCAAGTATGACTTGATCATCGGCGTACAAAAGGCATTTGACGGTTAACTCACCCATTTTTAACCCGCATTCTTCAACTTTCAAATTTTCCAAGCAACTGTCCATAAATAGGTTGAACAGCCATGGGGAAGACACACAGCCCTATCTGACACCTTTATGGATGCCAAACCAGTCCGAGTAACATATACATGATCCATACGTCCCATTCACTTTCTAAATCCCGCTTGCACGTCCTATATTTTTCCATCAGTTTCTTTCATAACTCTTTCAATCAGTACCTTAGCATACAGTTTTCTCACAATATTAAGAAGGCTGATATCACGATAGTTTTTACAGTCTTGCTGTGATTCTTTTCCTTTAAATATTAGGAGTATTACGGCTTTGCACCAGTGTTCCGGTACCCGCTTAAGTTTCCAACATAAACAAGGTGTACAGTAGGTCTGCCACCGCTCCCTCTCCAGCCTTTAGCATTTCGAGTGATACTCTATCATATCCAGATACCATACCTGCTTTTAAACTTTTCATTGCTTTAATTATTTCATCCATACATATCTCTCTATCTCTTTCCTCTTCTTTCGTAATTTCTATTTCATTTAATTCAAACGTCTCATCACTCATAATAACGCTTTCAAAGTATTCCTTCCATCTCTTTAAACTCGAAACTGCTTCATTCAGAATACAGCCATTTTGCTCTCGTATGGCATTAATTCTAGGTTATTTTAATGTCCCCTGGCAGTTATTACGAGTTTATAGAACATTTTAATATTTACCTGGAAATTATCCCATATTCTTCTATCATTTTGATCCGTTCTTTCTTGCTTTTTCCTTTTAACTACTTCTTTTATTTTCTTATTTAGATGTCTAAAGACTGCCATTTTTCTTTCATACCGCTACAATTACCAGCCTTAAGTTACAGCCTATTATACTTCCCACTGCTGGGTGGGTTCTCCTCATTTCTGAGAGGGTTTTAGCTTTACCAACCTTTGTTACTATTAAATCTAGCCATGCCCTCTTATTTGTTGCAACTTCCTCCGTACCTCCTCATCCCACCATAACGTGTTATTTTTCCTTGCATACGTTCTTTTACTTACACTACATACTTCGGTAGCTGCATCCAGCAAACCTTTCTTGACATTATGCAATCCAGTCTCCGAGGCTAAAACATTCATATACAATTCGTCCAAACCACTTATATTTTCTCTTAGTCTACATTTGAACTTCTATTTCACACCTTCAACTTGTAACCTCTCTGTTCTTACATGCTGTAACGCCATAGACCATTAATTCGACATAAGACCAAGTAATAAGCCGTTCCTACGTTGGACTCCCGGTAAACCCTTGTATCTACCACTGCGCTCCTCATTCTTTCATTCACAATTATGAAATCTATCATGCTTCTATTATCACCTCTTTCCTTGTGAATTTTCTTATGACGAAAGAAAGTGTTCGACATAAAAATATTCTTTTCTACACATACGGTGAGGAGATATTCACCATTCTCATTTATACCTTCATCACCATCGTTCTCAATATCATCATGACCAAGCCTCTTCACCCTAACCCTTCAATTAAAATCTCCTAATATAGCAATATTTTCACTACCCTTGCATTTCATTAGCACCATCCTTACCATCTCTCAAACTGATCTCGGATATAAGTGGGCTAAATTATGTCGTGGGCCTAAACCCCTAGAATAAACAACTTCTTTAAGCCCACTTTCATTCGTATCCATAGCAGTCTCGGGCTTACACACTCTCTCACACAGTGACCCATTCTTTCTGAAAGTATGATACCGACTTCCTGGCATGCACGCTCGGTCTCGTCTACATCAGAACAGTATGCGGTATACATGCCATCTGTAGTGGCATCCTTTCCCTTCCGTTTCGTCTCATTTACATATAGCACATCTATTCCTCTATTATACATCGTAATGCTTCATCCATCTTATAATTTATTTATATATATTTATTCAGCGTAGCCAGACGGCCTTCATCAATCAACTTTTTACCCCTTCGGAAGAGAGAACGTGATGGGTGGTGATCCTCCTCGCCGGTTTTCCTCCTGGAGATTCTTCGCACCCCGGCCCCATTAAAGGGGCGCAGAGAACTCGAGCCCCTTTCTTTTCTATTTTGCCTCATGGTGCGAATGTAGGAGGTGGTATTTTTTACGCCGGCCACACGGTGACGAGCCGAGTCTGTCCTTTCGGCTTTGTTGCTTGTTTAGCACCACCCGGGGGACACGTGTAGGGTGGGCATAGAATTAGGTGATCGAAGCCTACAGACTCATCCATATGCAGCAGTGTATCTAACTATAGTGCCAATAGCTATTTTGTATGTTCTTTCAAAGGTCATCGATTCTTTGATTTCTCCTGTTTCGTCTTCGCATTTGGAACAGTTTTGTCGTCGAGCCCCCAACATTTATTCATAAAGAGAAGATATACGGCTTATAACCTAGTATCATATGCTTAACCCCTAGTTGGGGCGGTTGATGCTTGCGTACACGTATATAAAGACTTCAATGAGGCACAGACAGACAGACAGCAGACACAGTAAATCATAGCATATTATTGGAAAAACTACAATTATATCGTGTTACCTCTAGTGTGGTTTGCGTCATATCTGGCTGATCGAGAGATGATAGTTGTATTGAACGGTATTTGCTCAAGTTCTTATGCTGCATCATCTGGATCATCCGGTTTTAGGTTGCAGCATCCATTTTTGGCCCTATCTCTTCACATTATTCATAAATAATACGTATGCAGCAGTGTTTCTAAAAATCTAAAATACACTTATTGGTGTGACCGAGACCAAATGTATTTAAATATTAAAAAAGGCAAACATATCAGATTCACCAGAAACAGAGTAATCGTCAATTCTAGGTATCCGAACAAATTGTTTGAAGAAGTTCATGTTATCATAACTAGGAATTCAGCTGGATTCAAGGCTTAAATTTAATTTACACATAAATGACTATACGTATGATTGTGTACTGCTTGGGCTTGTAATGAGGAGTGTAGGAATTTTAAAAAACCAGTCATAACAATAATATTGTACAATCAGTTATAACAATGCATAACCACGCATTTTGAATTTAAGAGATAAAATCTCGATGGCTGGCATCAAAAAAGTAGTTATTGGCGATTAAAACTCATTCTTCATTGTTAATTTAATTTTTTTAAAAGTAAATAGTAGCCATTTATTGTTGTTAAATTAACGTAACGTTTTTTAATTATACATATGATGCCCTCCAGTAAGGAATGGGATACTTAGAACTATTATGATGTCATTTCATATATATGTAACAGAGCACTCATTGTTGTGAGAGCTTAATAAAAAAAATCCTTCTTAGTTCTTCTAACGGTACGGGTTTAGTCGAACCAGTAGCAAAAGCATAAATTACTTACCATAAGTATTGATGTAATGCAAACTAAAAAAAAAAAACAGGAGACAAATTACTTTTATAAGATGAGATAGGTCATCATCATCATCGTTACAGCCTTTCACAAGTCCACTGCTGAAAATAGGCCTCCCCCAAGGAATACCACAAAGCACGGTCCTGAGGTGGCTCAGGACCGTGCTTTGTGGCATTTCGTTTTAGTGCCATTTCATCATCATCATTATCATTACAGCACTTCATAAGTCCACTGCTGAACATAGACCTCCCCAAAGGGATACCACAAAGCACGGATCTGAGCCACCGGCATCCATCGACTTCTTGCATGTCTTACCAGGTCGTCACTCCATCTAGTGGTGGGTCGCCCTACACTTCGCCTACCGGTACGAGGCTGCCACTCGAGAACCTTTCATCCCCATCGGTTGTCGGTTCTTCGAGCTATATGGCCGGCCCACTGCCACTTCAGCTTACTAATCCGTAGGGCTATGTCTGTTACTTTGGTTCTACTTCGACACTGGATAGGTCAATTAATTCCCTAATTCCGCTTTCACATGACGATGTTTGCTTCAACTCTTAAACAAAGTGTCCACGGCTTCGAAGTTGGTTAGACTTTAACTTCGCTATTATTTGAACCCCATCAGTTGTAAGTTTTTTGTAGTAATCACCATAAAATTTATTTTTATTGCAGTTATCCAATCCAAAACATTTGCGTGGAGGAGTGAAATTCGTCAAGGAGATACCAAAAAATCCGAGTGGAAAAATTCTACGGAAGCTTCTTCGAGAAATGTTATAACCATTTGTAACTAAATACACTTAATGGAAAGGCAGACTATTTGTAACTAATTATACTTCTAGTAATTGGACACTTTCTTATTTATATTTTTATCTTGCTGTTGTCTGTAATTAATATAATAGCATAAAAAATTACAATATTTATATTCTCATATTATTATATATTTATGTTTATTGTACATTTTTGTATTTTTTTTTTGTTTCTTTTCTTATTTCTTTAAAAAAAACGTTACTCCCACACTAGGATTTTTAACTCTTTATTGCATTTAAACAAAGTGGTTACAATAACGGAAAACTTATGAACTACATTGACATTGAAATTTTATATTTTGACGGATAGGTACAACGTGCAATATAAAATAAACTCAGTAGAATAAAAACCTATTATTAAATATATATTATGGTAGGTAGACACGTTATGGGGCGGTATTTGCTTGGGTCTATGGTATCTTGGTCTTTAAGAACCAAATGAGTGATCCCAGTAGTGAAGAGGCTCGGGAGCGACTTCTGGTCGAGAATTTCTTGGAACTGTCAGGCAAGCACAGCGTGACACACCACAAACTCCTTCAGCCAGTTGTGATGCAGTCCATCGAGCCCCGGACTTTTCCAGTTCGGGGCTCTTCGGACCGCCTCAGCTACGTCGTCCGGCGTTATAATGATGGGATTCATGGCCGTAATATTTGCACACTGGCTTGCCACAACTTCCGTCCAGGGATTCTCACTGTATTCTACGGGCTCTGACCACAGGCCGCGCCAGAATGCTACAGTGTCGGCCTGATTCAGTGCTGGGCCCGTTCCTCGTTCCATTGGCCGCTCCAATGATTTATAGAGCCTCTTCTGAGCACTCTGGAAGAGACGATTCTGGTTGAACCTTTTCGACCTGTCGGTATATTGCCGAATCCGCTTCCTCCAAGCAGCGATTCTCTGTCGTCTATGCGCTCTGTCAGTTTTGCATTATATCCGGCTGGGACAAATTGATATTTGTCCCAGCAAACGTAGTCCTCACGGTGCGCACAATTCTCCGCCTACTATTGCCCGACCTGAAGCTTATCAGTCTGCCGATGAGGGCCCTTGCCTTTGCAATACGATACTGAATACTTCTTCTCCAGGCTAGGAGCTGGCTACTTTGTCCAGTAGCACGTCCAGACGTGAGTAGTGTGGCAGTTTGCTGCATTGTTTGGCACCAATAATGCCAAAGTGTCGCCAAAGAGTATTGAGTCCGTATCGCAAAGGTCTTGGCTGGTTTCCAAGTAGGTTGAAAGCAATCGGTTCAGGGCAGTCACGACATCCCGAATCTGCTTGCTTAGGGTTATGCGAGGGAGTCGCGGTCAATTTTCGAGAGACGTACAGCGCGTTTCCACAGTCGCCTCCTCCAATTTACTCCTCATCTGCACTAGTTCGTGGGTGACCATTCCATCATTACCTAAATCAACCAGAGCAAGAAGATTCATGACGGCCTCCACATGTGGCTGCTGGTCTGCAGCCTGAGGAGCTGCATCCCCTGCTATAGCCGGTTCATTCGATCAGGAAATAGCCTCACGCCGTAGTTCTTCGAGTTCGGCATCATCAAATATTTTCGAGCGAAAGATGTACCGAACTCGGGCTGCCAGGTTTTGCTCCGTGACGGGAAAAAACGGCTCCAGCTCAGCAAAAAAGCGATGCTTCCGAGTCCGATACCGACTCCTGTTTCTTTCCATTTCGCCCTATAGTACGCCCGCAATGCATTTGTGTTCATAGCTAGTGATATAGATCTATAGTCGTTTTTGTCCGACGAGAGTCCTGTCTTATTTTTCAGTACTGGCACTTTCATAAAATCAGAAGGTAAGTACGAGCTTCCTATGCAAAAAGTATATGACATGGCCAGGACACGCGGAAGGTGGACACCAGCATATGGCAGGTGTTCGATACTGACGATATCGCGTCTCATGACGTCATGACCTGGGGATTTACCGCGCTTCATGTTTTTTATTGCGTCTTTAATATGTTTAGCCGTAAAGCACGTGGTTTCATCTCCATACTGGATACCTGCATCGAAATTCTGTGACGATTGTTGCTTGGTATACTTAAAGTGGTTTTTAAAAATATTTGCCACCCTCCAGGCGTCACTTTCGCCATCCACACTCGCAGGAACGCTCGGCCTTGGATTAAATTTGTTGGTTTGTTTCCAAAATTTAGAAAAGTCTTTTGTTTTTATATGTGTAGCCAAAATTTCAATTTTTATTTTTTGTTCGTTATCCTGACACCATTTTGTTTTTGATTTAAACAGTTTTCTACTTTCTTTCATTTTTTCTTAATAAATTCCAATTTTAGGATTTCAATATAATACCCATATTTGAAAGTAAACACGAGCGTCCCTGTTCCAACCCTTAACATATTTATTTCTACATTTCCCATCATGAGTATGGGTCCCTATTGCCGCCTCGCTCAAAGTACATACAATGCTATCATACATTTTATCGATTATTAATTTATGTTCTTAACTAGAACAGCGGTGATTGGCACATTACCTAGGCTCTTCAGGAAAATCTATATATTTAAGCTTTTCACAACAAATTTCAAAATATGTATTTATTTGACTTTGATTTCTTACACCCCACGCAGAGTTATCAGATTTAAGATTATATTTTTTTACTTTATAACTCAGTTTTCCCATATCAATAGTGAAATAACTAAGTGGAAAGTGGTCAGACCAGAAAATATCATAAAGTACCCTAACATTTACAACAGATTTCGTGGCTGTCATAGTTGTAATCCGCCCAGCGATCAGAACCATTTATATCACTTATATAGGTAAACGTAACATATTGTTTTTAAATATTCATAGTCCACTATATAAAATTATTCAAAAAACAATTCGCCAGGATGCGCATTAAAATCTCCTAATATAAATGGAGAATCTATATTATTACGTTATTATAGCATTTATTCCACTGAGACATCTCTTAAATTCGGTTACATTGTTACTGTATTGTGTCCTGTCGTTCACAACAGTTTTAATCGCGGCCAAACGCAATGAGTTACACTGCACAATGGACACTGATGTAACAAAGATTTACGCCACATAATGGCAACACCACCGTACGGTCGACCTCTCAATCCGTCACCGGTGTTAACCGCAGATTTACTGCAACAGTGAAATTCTGGATGGATTCCCGCGATGTAAGCTGAATCATGCGGTAACAGCCATGTCACCTGCAACGCTATGATATCCACAGATTTACATAACGCTCGTATGCCTTCGGCTGATCTTGTGACTGATTTACAGGATATAATTTTCAAGTATTTATTATCCATTATTTAGGTGATGCAAGACGATTACTTTGGTTTTTACCTACAGTTTTTGGTAATATAAGCTTTCACCCCTGTCACAAAGAGTGGTAGAAAATCGAGCATACGGGTCATCTGATGGTATAAGATCACCGGCGCGCATAAATATCTGCAACACCAGACGAATTGCAGATCTTCCTACCTAAATGTTATGCTAGTGAGTACCTCAAAGAGTCACACTTTATACCACACATTCAATATTTGTGTTTTTATTTTGTAGCAGACGATTAAAACTTCTAACTCTGTTTACAGAAATTTATTATATAAAACTAGTGCTAATCAATCAAGGGAGCTGTGATAGTTCAGGGGATATCAGCTTGCCTTAAAATTACATGGTTTGCATGCAAATTGATTTCAATACTCGCCGCTCACAATTCACGTGCGTTTACCTGGCTTGGCAATCCTGAAAAAAATCCAAAATGGCATTTGAGGTCAGTACTTAACTAAACCAAAGAAGATTTTTGACACTAGAGATGATGTGTCAATCGTGAATGATCCGTTCATTTGACCCGGGTCGCTTTAAAATATTGATGATTGCAATTACATTTTTGAACGTTTGAACGCGAATCAATATTTGAAAGATTGGGTTACTAGAAATAAATGAATGAGACGTGTCTATTTGGGAAAATAAAATCCTTGCAATTGAAAAAAAATCGGTTTTAACAATATGGCACCGAGTTGCCCCATGGCAACATGCCTTTATATCATCAGTAGGATAATTTGAAGAGAATCTCATCAAAAAAATTGAGGTAGAATAGTTTTCGGTACTCATACGCCAATTCCTCCTGGACTCTATAATGTATTTTTAATGTTTTAATTACGTACGGTAACCTTTGATTGCATTTTTCTCCAAATGTGCCAAGTCACTTTGAAAATAAAAGCGCTTCAAATACTTGTATAAGTGTATATAATGAATAATAACACAATTCAAATGACATTTCAAGGTGATAGAGCAAGGCAAATGAACGTCTGAATTCCATAAGAGTAACTATGAAGAAAAACATTTGAAACAAATCTATGTGCGTGTGAAAGGAAAATGCCAGAATATCTATAAAACTTTGCCCCACCTAAAATTGCGGTGTACACGATTGCCGTTATGCGAAATTTATTTGCTGTTTTATTACTTTATGCAAATAAAATAAACTACGGTTGTTAGAACTTGCGATTTTTTTTTAATTGAACTTTTATAATCACATTAACCTTATGTTTTATAAAAACGTTCGTTGCAGTTAAATGTAATTGCAATTTATAAATTGTCAGGCGCTAATAAAATATGTAAATAAGAATTTTAGGAGCCGTAATAAACTTGCGTTGTGGTTTGAATAAAACAATTATATGATCACTAATATTTGAGAAGGTGTTCTCTTGTGTTGGAGCTAATAACTAACACTATAAGATAATGTTGTTAACGATGTTCACTGGTTTAAGGATAAACGAAAAGGATGAATCCTTTATGTAAATATTACTCTGGTATGAGTTTTTTCTGCTTAGGAGTCCGTTTGTGTAGGTACGACTTTCCCATTTCAGTCGACGAGCTGCAGTGCGTGCACTGCTGTGTTCCGGTCGGAAGCGTATAGAGAGTCAGTTTAATTACAAGTTTTGAGGCATTCTGTCTTCTTTGTTTGAAGTTCGTTATAGATGTCGAAATGTGTCACTTACCGTCAGATATGCTAT